CAGCAGCAGAAGCATTTTATTGGAAAAGGAGAGCAAGGTTGAAGGGCAAGAAGAAGAAAATGGGAAGAATGAAGAAGTTTCTCTAAATAGTTCTGATAGGCATGATATAGACCACTTGGAGTCCTTGAGTGATTCTTTATATGATAGCTTCTCATCCTGTGCAAGCCAAGGCTCAAATGATGTCTAAAGAGGACACTCGACATGGGTGGCCACTGAGTGGAGCACTTAATGAACAGAAGAACTATAAATAAATAAGAGCTGTTGAAAATATTCAAAGTAAGTTGCTAAGACTCATGATAGGATATATCCAGATATATTCATATAGAGCAATAACGAAGAAAAATCTGCATTATAACAAAAAGACTGAAAGTTTGACAGTACAACACAGTTGTTACTAAAAAGAAATAGTCTTAATTTTGCACTTTTATGAATTATTGTACAGAAGTTGTAAAAAATGTTCTGGGGAAGAGAAATAAAATTATATTTGTAGAAAAACATGACAGCAATAAATACTAATTGGTGCCATGCTCCTGAAATAGCAGGCTACTAACTTTAAACACTGATGTTAATATTAACAAAGTTAGTAATTTTTTTGTAAAATAAAGATTTATGAACGTTCTAGTCTTAAAACTGTATGTAGAAACACTGCTTTATCGCAAAATTGAACTTGCCAAATGGTCTATAATGAATCACCTTGAACTACATTGTACAACATACGTTTTTTAAAATGCATATACTTGTGCAATTTTGAAAAGATTCTCTATGAACTTGCATATTTCTCTTAATGCCATTTGGTGAAATCATCCAAGAGATACCCTCCTTCCCTATAATCTGTAGCCTTATACCATGAATACATGTTGTGTTGATTTAACTTTGATATGATTTCATATTAATTCTGTTAATTCGGGAATCATGGACTATAATGCAATTGATTTAGATTTGTATTCAACAATTTAAATTTTTTTAATCAAGAAAAAGATTGGTGCCAGCAAACAAATTATGGGGGGTGGGGGTTTCCTACAAAGACTCTTTATATGTAAGGGAGAAGTCTATTTCAAAGGTGGAGCGTATTTTTTTTAGATGTGGAATATTTATAACAACTTTTGTACAGCAGCCTGTAAGCTAGCTATATTTACAATACTTCCTAACCCGTTTACTATGTTTGTAGCATAAGCCTGTTGATTTCCACCCACTATGTTGTACTATCAGTGTTACTTGGTTAATACTTTCGTGCAATGTTACATTTCATGTTGTTTTAAATAATGTTGGGGTAGAGTTTGGTTGTTTCTGATTTTTATGAAATTTCCTTTGAAGTTTATTTCTGAATAAAAGTCATATCATATATGGTTATCCAAACAATGATATTACATACACATCAACAGATGTTCTAACAGTGGTAAAGGTTGATTTGAAGCAGACATCTACCTGGAAATTGAGTTAAAACTACCTTTATATGTAAATATAAAGAAGCAATATTTATAGACAAGAGGACCAACTGCAACAAAATACACAGCTGTATACTAATGATTCTCCAGCCATTTCCCTTCTCAAACCAAGCTTGCCTGGTATGCTTCTCTGCTAATGTATGTGCAGATAGGATGCAAAATCAGTCAAATGAATTTTCTACATGGCAACTAAGAAGTAATTTAAGCTTAATTCAAACCTCTCTAGCGATTTCTCTCTAGCTCTCATTCTCCCTCTCTCTCTGAGAAAAGATTGGGTGAATGATGAAAAGCAAAGAAAGGTCTCCGAGAGATGAGGCTGGAAAAAGCCATCAGAGGCGGGTGCAAGTGGTAATGGAACAGCTTTAGACACATAATCTTATGGGAGATAAAGTGCTCCAGCAACAAAGTGAAGCCCCCACAGAACTGCAGGCATGGAGATAAATGGGACAGTGGTCTGAGCCCTGATAAAAAGAAGGCTGCCCGTTTATAAGGCACGTGCGTTATTTTTATTTTATTTTTTACGTCCTTTGTGTCACTGGCATGAAACATGGTGAAGCCTAAGCTTCGGTTACCAGTCAGAGAGTGAGTCCCACTGAGCTCCATCAAGCTCGCTTCTTGTTGGACGTGTATAGGATTGCCCTGGATGTCCCCAGTTTCCAGGAACCGACGCCCAGAACCTCACTTCAAATTTTTATTTTTTGGTAAATCCTAGAAGAAGAGAAACGATCCCCGACTGCCGCCCCTTCTGCAGCACCAAGGTAAGAGATGCTTTAACTCTTCTTTCGCCAACCTGGCGCCCCCTCCAGTTGTATTGGATTACAACTCCCGACTGCCCCAGTCAGCGTTGTGGTCCAAAGGATCCGGAGGGCACCGGGTTGGTGAAGGCTGTTTTTATTTCAGGCGCTGCCATAATGTTAGCAAGCTTAAACTTCTCTGAAGGATAAGCTGCCTGCCGGTCCCCCTTTCCCATTTGCTGCCTGTTTGGCTCATTTTTCTCAGGTTGGAAGAGGCTGCGCGGGCTGCAGAAGGCGCTTTTCAGCGAGTCAAGTGCGCGCGCGCACACACACACACACACAAGCGCTCCGGGCCGTGTCGATGGGAGCGGGGTGGGGTTTCGCGCCTTTGGAGCACAGCAGCGCGCGAGAGCGGCAGGCAGGTAGTAGGCGGCGCGCTCCGAAGGCCGCTTGGCACGTTGTTTTCCCACAGAACGAAGCGCTTTCCCGGTGCTCAGCAACACTTGGCTGAAAACGCTGAAGGGCGTGCGTTCTCTGTTCCGTAAGACCCTCTTCGCGCGGGAGGCAGCACTGTCTTCCTCGCGCCTCGTCCTTCGTTTTTCCCGCCAAAAAGACGGGCGAGGGCGGCGGCGGCTCGAGCGCGGTGGTGCGTGCCTGAGCGCGCGCCCTTTTGACCACCTAATCCTACTACACGCACACACGCTTGCGCAAAGCCTTCCCTCGTTTAAGCTCGCCTATTTGGTTGTTTGGTTAGAGCGCATTGGCGCCTCCTCGCTACGGCACAGCGTCACTTCCTCCCCGCTGCCTCGGAGTAGCCGGTGAGTTGTTTGGTGGACGCTGTCAGTGTACAGTCGCCGTACATATTTTTTTTTAAGTGCCTGAGAAAAGAGGCTGCCCACGCATGCCTCTCTGAATGCACGCGGGAGGCGCGCAGAACAACCCACGCATCCTGTTGATTCACCCACTGTTACGAGACAGAGTTCAGAACAGGGATGGGGAACCCGATCTGTTTGGACTCCTAGTCCCATGAGCCCCAGTCCGCATGGTCAGTGGCCATGAATGGTGGCAGTTGTGCTTCACCCGTATCTGGAGGACCAGAAGTTCCCCATCTCTGCTTCAGGAACACGTATCCAGGGAATAAAAAGCAACAACAGATGCTTTTCTCTGACTTGTGCAAACTAATTGTATTAAATGTTTACGTATCGCTCTCAAGTATTCAAAGCGCTTCACGCTTTGCGACCCTTACAATAATCCTATATGGCAAGTAAGAATTATTATCCCCCGTGTTGCATGAGGGGAAACTGCTTAGGTTAAACTTAGCATAAATTCAGAGCAGAGACAAGATTTGAACACGGACTTCCTGGTTCAAAACTTGAGAGCCTCTATGCAAGTAAACGCATAACGTAGCCTTCAGCAACTGCTCAGGCCACCCTCTTTGTGCGGGGGGAGGGGGGGAACACCTTAGGTGAGCATTTCGTGCATCCACACCATCAGGATGCTTGCGCAAATTTAGCAATCTGGCACAGAATGGGGGCATTTTACAACTCATCCCTCTTTCGTTTTCTTAAAAGTCCGTTTCTAGTCCTCAAGGGTGTCGGGTATGTTCTCTCTCGAAAGTACAGAAATACTTTTGGCCGGGAGACGACTTGGCGCATCCGCTCGGCCTCCCGCGAGAGCACCCTTCACCTCCTTCTCTGCAGTCAGTTCAGCAAGCTGCCGCCTCAAATGCTGCCAAAGCGCCACATGAAAGACAGGAGAACATAAACACCAAGCACATCCCTCTCCAATGGAGGAGATGAATGTGTGCCGGTGTGCACGCCTATACTGTGACCTGTGCGATCATGACACCTGAGGTATTAGCCTACTACCCTTAGACACCCCCCAACCCATCCCCAGCAACCTCAAGCTGTTCTCCACCTGCTCCACAACATGAGCCGGCCCTGCGGCCCTGCACCAGGTTGAAACTATTGGGGTGAGGGCACTGAAGCCGCCACTTCTTGATATGTGCCGATTATTTAGGAGCAGAAGGCATCGCCCTGGGAAAAGACCAGACCAAAACGAGCTCCTTTCTTTGCACGGCTCCGTTTGTTGTCCCTCGCGGCTGTCTCTGTATGGAAAGGGCGGCCTTTTTCCCGCGCCCGAGAGAGGCTCCTTTCTTTTCCAAGTGCCTCAGGCAGTTACAACAGGCGGCAGAAGTGCAACGTATATAGACCAGGATGGGAGAAACGTCGCCCACCCTGGGCGCACTGGAGATGAGACGCGCCAATACAGACACCACACCGGTGGAAGGCGCTATCGGCGTGGGACAGGCCGCGGCCCTCCTACAGCGGGCGGGTAAGTGAACGGCTCCCCTGCCTCGCCGGCTCTCAGAGCGCGAACTCCCCCTTGGCCTTGGTTCCAGTTCACGTCGTCTACGGCCAATTAATGTGTTCGCACAACCACAATCGCGCCCATAAAAGCGCGGAGGGGCGGGGAGGTGGCGGCAACCAGAGCGGAGGAAACCCACCTATTAGCCACTAATTGCAAAATTACTTGAAAGTGGTTGATTGATTGTAGCAGCCAACTAATCCACTCTCGATGAGTCATTTTGACTATTGCATCTCCACAGCGTTTGTGTGGTTTTATTTATTTATTTATTCATTCGTTCGTTTTAAAGGCTGCTTAGGGAAAACTGATCATTGTTTCAAGTGGGGGAGAGCGAGTCTCACAACCACACACCATCCTAAGGCGGCGGTGGAGGAATCTGGCGAGGGTATGAAAGGGGGAGTCAGCGTGGAAGTGAGCGTGAGTGACAGAGGGAGAGAAGACCGGGGGGGGGGGAGAGAAGCCTGAGCAAAAGAGTAAGCAGCTGTTTAAAGTTGGTCCAGGAAGGGGCTATTGTACTGCTGGGTGTTAGATGAGTGCCGATCTTTCCATACCAATCCAACTGGGGACGCGGCTGCGTCGGAGGAGCTTCCGCGTTAGCCCCGCAGGTGGGAACTGAGTGGCTGACCGCCGGCCTCCTCCCCCATCGCAGCTGCGGCGCGTGCAGGTGTTTGGAGGGTGGGAGGGGCTCCTCCCCCTTCGCCTCTCCAAGCTGAAGGATTCTGCCTGTCTCCATAAACTTTCTCCCTCCTTCCCCCCTGCAGGAAAAGGGGGGAGGGGGCACCACGTGACCCCGGGAAGGCGGGTGGGGGTTATTCGGTGGGTCTCCCTCTCTCTCTCCCCGCCCTCCTCTCCCTCTCCTCTTCTTGGCTAGGCGTCTTCCGCTGTAGTTTCAGTCTCTCAACTCCGGCGAGGCTGGAGGGAGCTCTCGCAGGGAGAACGAGAGGGAGCCGGGGCTCGGGCGGGCGATGCGGGCTGAGGCGTCGCCTGCTGCCCCCGGAGCTCCTCTCCGCAGCGGCTGCAGCAGTCGCACCAGTCCGACCAGGCAGAGGTGCGCGGCTCTCCCGGCATCGCCCGGCTGCTGCTTCTGCTGAGATCTGCCGTGCCTTGGCCAGCGTCTCCTACCGCCACCGCCAGCCCCTCCGACGGCTCCAAGAGGATGTGGCTCCTCGCCGTGGCGACAACTTTCTGGGGATTGTTGCTGGCGCCAGGTAAGAGGGGACGCCCGCCGTAGCCGACCCCCAACCCCCGCCCCGGTGCCTCGAATCGGTGCCTGCCCGGTGCCAAGGACTCCTCGCCGACACTCTGCAAAGTTCGCGCCTGCCATTCAACAGCTGCTGCTGCTGCTGGCACCAACTCTGCAGCTCCCGCCCCAGCCAGCCAAGAAGCCAGCGACGGCGGCTGCTCCTTTTGCTACCGGTCTCGCCGGCAGCTCTGCCTGCCAGCTTGAGCCACCGCCGGACCCTGGCTCCTCTGTGTGCCTCTCCCGAGAAATGCGCGGGGTCACGCAGCCCACCCGTGGTCATCGCCGCCTCTGGAACCCGTCCGCTTCCAGAGGTCTCGCTCACAGCAGCAAGGAAAGCTTGCTTGTCCATCCCTGCTGCGCTTGTTTCTGGAAGAGAAACTCGGCTTTCCAAGGAGAACTCGCTTGGGATCTGTCTGGGAGCAGTCCACTTGCACTGCCTTAGGGACGCTGCCGAGGCGAGCTTCCCAGACAAGCCCTGGGAACTTCCGCGGGCAGATCGCAGCAAGCCGTAGAGCAGCAGCCCCCGCCCCATCGCTCCCGCGAGTCTCCTTCCCCCTATTTCCCGGGGGGGGGGTGACGATTCACACTGGCGAGCTGTTGCCCGGGAAGCCCTCCGCTTAGTAGCCAACTAGCAACCCTCGGAACAGAGGATTCTTCTCGGTCTGTGCGTCACGGTTACCCTCCCAACCCTCGTGTTCCTTGCAGAGTCCTTCGGTGGGGAGTGTAGTTAGTAGTTCCCCTGCAAACTACCTCAAGGAGCAACAACGCTAGGGCTGCCCGTCAGGAGCCAGCAGGCACCTGTTTAAGTAAAACAGCCCAGATACCTACTGCCTGGCCCCACGAGTTGAATGGGGAGGAAACTCGGCCGAGTAATGGCAACTATTCGGGCATCCTTGGGCAGCTAAATGACCAGCTGAGCTTGATTTGTGCTGTGACCGCACTGAAGCCAGTTCCCTGCGTGCTAGCCCGATCAAACCGCTCCTTCCAGTGATCGCACTTCTTTATTTTAAGGAGACATTGCTAAAAGCACCGCTTCCCACCCAAGTGCCCTCGACTGTCAATGGGTGTGGGGCGGCGTTGGCTATCCCGTCCGGATCTTTCCGTAGCACCCAAATCCTCCAGGAGCGCTGGGCGATCTAGGATGGATGCCCTTGCTCAGGCGCAGCTCCAGAAGACAGTAAATATGGGGAAACTCCCCCGGCCCTCGCCTTAAACTTCCAGAAGGACCCTCGTTTGCATGATAAAAGAGGGAAGCTAAGGATGCTTTGCAGCTGTAATTGTGCATGGCAAAATAGTAATTAAATCATTGCAATTAATTAGTAGTTAAGTAAACCCTTTGGCACAGAAAAGCGCTGGAGCACATCTATCAGGAGGTTTACTTTTTCGGGCATTTGCTTGCTTTTTAAAAGCCTAGTGCTTAAAGAAAAACCCACAACCCTACACCAAACCTTTTAAGAAGGAAAAGCAGAGAGGACAAGATGGTGAGCAAAACAGATCAATTTTGCTACTGCTCATTATTGTTCATTCTGCCCCCTGCTGGATACAGTTTAGGTTGATGAAGCCAGAAGGGTCTGAAAACTTGGAAGCAAACTGATAATGAGTTTTGCCCATGTTTAAAGGTCTGATGTGGAATGAAGTTGGAAGATTATTAAAGGATACTATATCCTTAAACCATGGTGTTAGCTAAAAGGACAACGGTTACAGCCAAATAGAGAATGAATGAGAGTGTGTGTATGTGTGTGTATATGAGAGAAATTAAATAAAAGGAAACTTAATATACAGCACAAAGTGCTACTGAATCAATGGGACTTGCTTGCTTACTGCAAGTCTTTATGCTTATGAAACAAGTCCTATTAAGTTCAATGGGGCTTATTCCTATAGAAATAAATGCAGAATTTCTGCATTAAAAATTATTCTTAGCACATGCTAAATAATGTTTCTTTCTATTCTAGGATTTGCTCTGCAAATACAGTGCTATCAGTGTGAGGAATTTCAGCTAAATAATGATTGCTCATCCCCAGAGTTCATAGTGAATTGCACTGTGAATGTCCAAGATATGTGTCAAAAGGAAGTCATGGAACAAAGTACAGGTAGGGTAAACTATATCAGTTCTGTCTCATTAAGTCTCTTCCCTTTTCATTTTATTTCCTGTCTAACTCAACTCCATAGGTAATTCAAATGCATGTTTATAACACCTATATTTTTATTTGAATTGTTAACCGTGCCATTCATTTATTCTGCTGTATGTCACAGGGTTCGTCCTTCCACTTTACATTGAAAATGCTGAAGCTTACTTAAAATAAGTTATCAAAACTACAGTAAAACAACACTTGAAGCCTCAGACCTCTTTAGAATACTCGGGAATTAATAACAAGTTCATTTAATCTCATTACAGTTAATTACACGGGCCTTCTCCCATCAGTTGGAGGGAAGTGTATTGAATTAGTAGCTGTCGTTATTTACTCTAGCAAGTCACATACCCAGTGGTTGATCTTTAGGGAGAGCGGATGTGGTGAACTGAGCTTTCGGCCATTAAATATAATGGAATTGCATAGGATGGGCTGAAGGTTAGGAGGCTCTGCTTTGGTCTTGGGAATAAGGGTCCTAGATCATTTACTTCCCATGTGGAATTTCACACAAAAGGGCATGCTTTGCAAAAGTAGCTAACAGTCTGTTGGCTGAAAATGTTGATGACATAAATTGTTCTTCTGTGTACCAAACCATGCAACATGGAAGGATTATATTTTTTTTAAGCAGCATAGATCATGTGATCCATGCTGGTTGCTATCAAACAGGTTTTGGATTTACAATTGTACCTAGGGAGAAAAAGGTCTTTGGCAGCTATGGGAAAGCCCATATAAAACCGCTAATTCTAACCCTTCCTGAAATCGTATCTGGCTTTGAAATCTCTAGGGGGTGAAATTGGGACATACAAAAGCAAGACGATAGAAGATGCAGAGAATATTGTGTATCACTGACATTGGAGATTATCATCCATCTTGGGAAGAGTAGAATATATTTGCTAGGGAGATCAACAAGTTATGCCTGTTGAGCTAGGAATGCTTCAGTACCCATGTCAGTAACACTGGGACCTACCTGATAATGGAAGACATAAATATATAATTACAGTATATTTGGTTTGTTAATCATAAAAATAACAACAGCAAAAAACCAATGGTTGTTTAGTAAATTGGGCCTTTTTGTGGTAAATGAAACAAGTGCCACAATAACCATTATTGGTGACCAGAGTTTTGTAATTTGTTTCCCCTTTAAAACCTGTGAAAATGAATGGGTGAGAATTGTCAGTTCAGTAGAAATCCTGTAAATAAAAGCACTAATCTTCTAAATGCACTGTTAATGATCTGTGTAGTTGTAAAGAATTGGACAGTGGTGGTGGGAAAAGATCTGTCTCTGCTCTCTGAAAGTGCAACAAAAATATATCCCCAAGTTCAACACGTAAACATTTGAATGCACAACGCAGAGCAAACATTTCCTCTTAATCCTCATACTACCTGGAAATCCTCCTGCTAGAGAGAAATTTAACACCATTATGATGCTCTTTAAAACTTAAAAGCAATTTTGGAAAGGTATCTGAAATACAATTTTAAAGACTCTCACAATAACACAAAGCAGAACATTCATATTTTTGTAAAAATATGGAGAGACTTCAGTGGATTGAATGGGAATGGGGGCTGAAAGGCTATTAAAAAACATCCCAGCGGAAATATTAGTGTTTTCCTTAGTTGTGCTTTTCGAGCATTACTTCTTCTGGCCATAATATTTTTATTTCAACTTGCATTTAAAACTTTTAACAGCCTCCCAGAAACCATTTTGGTAATCTTTTAAGCTGAAGGTTAGCGAGGCAGAAAAATCTGTGCTAGCAGTAGGCCTTTATCTGGGAATGGCTTGCTTAAACCTTTGGGATACCTAGATTTTTAAAGTGATGAATTTGTTGGAGTTTTTAAAAAATCAGATTTACTACTGGATTTTGAAACTGATTGATAAAGCTACCATGACTACGTTAAGTTCAAAGTAAGAACCGTTCTAATTGGATCTTAAAACATTTAGAGTGACATAAATATGCTTTCCCCACTGGAGAGAAATTGATTTGTAATGGCTTCAGTAAGAGAGAGGCATTTTAAACGATATTTTTCTTTGAATTACTCAACCTATGAATCTTGTACCAAGTTGTAACAATAGTACCCGACTTAACAGCAGAACTTTCCCTATGCATATCAAGCAGCAGTACACATACTATCTTACTGGTCTACTTAATTTCATACGTAAATATATTTGTAACTTTGATCAGGAGTTCCCATGATTGATGACATTTCTATATATTCTTACCTATAGATATCCCAGTCTGCAGTTAACCCAATAGGCAAGGCAACAACACTTTGATTTTTAAATCAGTTTTGTCCCATTGCAATCAATGGGGTCAAGGTTGTGATACTGAGCACTCTTACAAGAAAATTTCATTCACGGTAGTAAGACTTAGCTCCATATATGTGCTTAGGATCCGGTTATGAGTAGCTAAATCCAAGAGATGGTAGGTTACAGGGTACTGTGAAACAATTCAGGGCTCATATAATTACCTCTAGTGTGATTGTGTTCAGCTAGATTTTTGTTTGCTTACGTATACTTAAAAATGTGTACAAAAAAATTTGCCACATTCCTATGCTTTAGCACATGCCTAGCTCAACATTTAACATACCATTTCCCAATGCTGCTTACTTTTACACTTGTTCAGCACTGAAGAGATTTCTTATTCAAAGAGAGCCACTCAGTTTGAATTTTTAACCCAATATATAAAATAAATAAAATTGCAATCTTGCAATTACAGGTTCTCCTTTTGACTACTAGGGCTAAAATCAAATTAGTATAGATTTAATAGTTGTTTTCTTTAGTAAGATATGCATTTCTCTCAGTGCGTATGATTAAGGTTTCTGTAAATCTTACTTCAAAGTGAAATGCAGCATATTTTGTTCTTTTCTTTTAAGGCAATGTTGTATTTTAAATTGTTGCAACCATCCTAGGACCTTATGGTTAAGGGCAGGCATAATAATAATAATAATAATAATATAATAATAATAATTTAATTGAAACCATGTTAATGGTCCAAATCAGTAAGCCAATGGATCCACACACTTGAACATGCATTTAGCTATTTTCCTGTTTTGCAATATATAGGATCACTTATTTACATACAGTTATATATATTATCTACATGTTAATGGTGGCAATGTGACACAAATGTTTGTTCGTATTCATTAAATGGAACGATTCGGTACTGAATTCTTTTGTTTGTTACACAGTACCTGGGCACCAGAGTCTCCCTTTTATCTTAATCCAGATAAAATAAGGAAACCTGTGACTTCTCAGATGATGTTAGACTGCCAACTGCCATCAGCTCCAGCCAACATGACCAATGATCCGGGATGATAGGACTTGTAGTCCAACAATATCTGGAGGGCCACAGATTTTCCACTTAAGAATGGCCTTTTTAGATTGGCCACTCTGTACATTAGATGGATGTTGGTCCAATGTGATGTTTTTGGAAAGTCAAACTGAATGACCCCCCCCCCCCGTTCTTAGTTCTATTATATTATCTGGGGCTCAGAACAGGCATACTGCTGTGATTTTAGGTATTGTAGCTAACAGTCCTGTATAGAACTATTCTCTCTTTTTTTTTTTTTAATAATTTTTATTGGGTTTTCACATTTTCTATAGACAAAAACAAAACACATAACACCAAAACAAACATAAAAAAGAACAACAGCAAACATGAATAGTTCCAGAAAATCTTATTTTCTAACCCTAGTCCTTGACTTCCCCCCACCCCCTCCCTTGCATCCCTGTTCCCAAGTTTATGTCAGCAAGTTAGCATTTCTTCCTTCTTAATATTAGTCCTTTTATAAAAACAAAAAATAAGTTTTCCCTAAGTTGGACCCCAATTCTCTTCCCTCGATTTCTCATTTTTTCTTGAGTAATTTCCTTATTACTAAACCCCTGGTCTTGAGTGTTATTTAAGTTTATGCTTCCCTCCCTCCCATCCCCGCTTTGCGTCCTTTCCCAAGACATGTCCAAAGTAACAGTTTTTAGCCTGGATTCCGCACATCCGAGGCTCTCAAATCTATTTCAGTCCCTCTCCGCCGATTTTGTTGGTAGTCCTCTTTGTCAGTCATCGAGTCTCGAAAGATTTCATTAACATTCAATCCAATCAGTCCATAGTCTCTTCCCATATTTGGAAGCAACTGCTGAGGAATTTCCACAAGGCCTAAGTCTTGGTGATGGTCAAAATCAAAGTCTATGTGGAGGCCCCAATTATACTTCTTTATTTCGAGTTCCTGAGTTCCATAAACTCCCAGGACCTCCACTTTCATCTTCTGTGTCTTTCGTAGGCTTGGAATAAATTCCATCCAATGGTCTCCTTGCTTGTGTTCTCCAGATATCGGCTTCTGGTTAGTATTTTCCCACATAACTTGTTCTCTTTCTTGTTTTGTCTTCTCCTCTTCTTTGTTTATTATTTCAAATTCAGCTGTGGGTTCTTTCTCATTCAAGTCCTCATTACATTCAACAGAGCTACTTGTTTCCAAATCCAAGGCCGTCAATTGTTTACTCATAGCTGTAGTCTGCTCCTGTAAGGTTCCCACCAGTGAGAACATCCTTTCGATTTCTCTCAGTATCTTTCCACCCACAGCCATTGTAATTCCACAGAATTCCCCCTAGAGGGAATCTGGTTACTGGATGGTCTTTTCTCCAACAATCCTCTGTCCTATTATTGTTTCTTTGTTTCCCAAAATTTTAGTTCAATTGTAACTCCTTTTATCCGGAGAGGTCTTAAGTAGCAATTTTTTCAGTATTAACAGTCCATTTGACAGCTTTGACAGCTGTCAAATTCTGCTCCTCTATACAGGCTCCAAAGCAGATCGCTCCCGGGCTCGGGAGGGAGGGTTGTTTACCACAAAACAGAAACTCTTCGAACACTCCACTCTCCTGCTTAAATTTGCTTTTCCAAATCTTGGAAGTTACTGTCTTTTTTAAAACTCACCCTTTACAGGGTGGGCACTCCAGCTTAGCTCTTATATCG